TGAATTTCATTCTGGGGTTGCTTGATTGTTGGATACCTTGTGCATTGAGGTTTAAGTACTGATCAATACTTTTGCTTGTTTATTTTAACTTTTTTCTCCATAAAGTTAAAAGCCCATTAGGATTCAACATTATACTAGTTATGCCATAAAACCCACTATTATGAAGCTGTTATTAGTCCTCTACCAGTCTCAAGAAGTACTTGCACATTGTATGCACGTGTGGGGAAAAATGTGATTCAGCTAAGCACAAGATTAACCGCACTGCGTCCTCCCAAGCTCCAACTCACGTTTGTTGCTGCTGGAGCTCTTCCTCCTCTTGCTATTTCTCCTTCTCCCCCTCTTGCTCATTCTGAAATCCACCACAGTCTCACATCCGCTGGGAAACGTAACACTGAACGAAGACGAACAAGTGTTGTATTTTTTATGGGTATATGTACACATTTTGGCTCAATATTTTTTACACTGACATGAAATCAATTATTAAAGAAACAGAAAATGTAAATCATTAAGATGCTTAATTCTTAGTATTTATCACCATTTTTTAAAAATACAAACACTAGTAATTATTGAAATGTCTAATTTCTGTTGAACAAACTGATACAAAAGGAAAAATTATAACCTGGCAATATCCAGTTATGTACAGAAAGTTTATGCACTGGTACATAATCCTGTGCAACTCAGTTAACATGTGCATCAAACAGTTTCCTGCTTAAGGGGCTGGTCAGAAGCAAACAAAACAAAACAAAAAAACCTCCTTTTGTCTGAATGAGCACCATCTATAAACAATTAAAACATCAAATTGTGTTAACAAGTTAGAGCTGACACCTGGTTTTGTTTTGTTTTGTTTTTCTGAGAAAGACGAGATGATTTTCAATAAAAGACAATAATGTCAGTAAAGTCAGACATGTTATTTATTCAAATGTGAAAATTAGAGCGGTTAGGTTACTATGTTTAATGTTAGAAAGCTTTGCTCTATAGGGATCATGTTGACCAAGTAAATTTATTTCCAAGTAAACTTATTTTAAAAATAGAAAAACATCTGACTTACCTATTGATGTGATATCCTGATGACTGCTATCAAACCTTTATGTGGCAGACATGAAAAGATAGACAGACAGCCGGCAAACAGCTGCTTCTTTTCCACTGTCTACATTGTCTGTGTCTCTCAGACTGTTCCAGTTCTTATTGTTTCTATTCTTGATACTAAGCAGCTTATTACGCTTAATCTTGTCAGCCACTGATGATGCAGTACTAAGCCTGCTTATTCAGCTATACTTTTTCACTGGTCAATGAAAGCAGATGAAGCACATGATGCACATTTTTTCCTACATGTTTAAAAAGCATTCACCCCTATCTCTCTATGTCCTTTTTTCACAATACCAACTGTGAATAACTACCTCCCTTTTGTTCAACGATTCCTGCAATTATTTACTTTCTCTTAATGTTTATATTACACTTTGCAGAGCCAAAACAAAATGTTGAGTTTCACTAAAAAAGACTATTGCCTTTTTGATGAAGGTGCTAAATCTCCTAAGTATGGATGCCTCTAAAGAGAAATAGGATCATAACAGAACAGTTATATTAGCAGGAGTCATGTAGGACATTAGTTGTAATTAAAAGAATTTTAAATTCAATTCTGATTTTCAACAAAGGTCAACAAGAATGGTGACAATGGACCTTAGTTGCTGCATTCTAAACAAACTTTAGATGGGCTACAGATTTTAGATCAGTTGGAGAGAAAGGAACCAGGTCAGAGCAGCTTCCACTTC